GCGAGGATGTGGAGAAAAAGGAACTCTCCTGCACTGTTGGTGGGAGTGCAAACTGGTCCAACCACTATGGAGAGCTGTGTGGAGATTTCTGGACCTACTAAACATAGAGCTTCCATAGGATCCAGCAATTCCACTCCTAGGTATTTACCCAAAGGACACAGAAACATCCATTCCAAAGAGCACCTTCACCCCTATGTTTATAGCAGCACTGTTTACAATAGCTAAGCTTTGGAAACAACCCAAACGCCCCCAAAATAGATGACTGGATCAAGAAGATGTGGTACATATATACCATGGAATATTACTCAGCATTCAAAAAGGATAAACACATTCAATTTGCAGCAACATGGATGGAGCTAAAAGGGATCATGCTCAGTGAAGTAAGTCAGAAAGCAAAAGAAAAATACCGGATGGTCTTACTCATAGCAGGAATCTAGAAAACCTAAATAAAGGACCAGGAAAAAGACTAATTAATACAAAGTAAAAATCAAAATCAACAAGCAACTATAAACCAGAGCCACACTATTGGGGGGTGGGGAGCGGAAGGATTAGGGTCAAAATATGGGGGGGGGTGCAATTGTATGGGGACTATAACCAAAATGAAAATGCATACATTGTGTGAAAATGAAAAATGATGTAAGAATTACATAAAATAAAATATTTAAAAAAATGTATTTGAAAGCGTGGTGCCTAGGTGGTCAGTGAGAACTGGATCTGCACAACCCATCATCACTGTCTGGATTCCAGACATTTAGGATACAGAGGCCTGGAAGTCAAAGGCACATGATGAAATCAATGACTGAGCTGGTCTTTCAACACAGGCGGTTGGACCCCAGCGCTTCTTCTCTTACCACTACACCACACTGCTTCCCAGGGCTGGGCACGGGGCCCTCGCGGCCTTGACATAGGTAGAGAACTTAGGTCAACCCAGGCAGGCAAAGCCCATGAAAACTCTGTTCTGGCAGAGTGCAATGCCTTTTCCTTTCCATCTATCTGTACAGGTCCTGCCCCCAGGCACTCAGACGTGAGCATTCTTAGACATTCGGGAAACTTCTCTGATGCTCCCTGAGCAGAATCAGGAGCTCCTGGGGATGACTGCCCAGTCCCTCATGCAGACTGAGGAGATGCAAGGGCCCCTGCTTCTGCTAACTGTGCCTCCAGGAAAGCTATCACTGGGCTTGACGTCTTTCACGCTACCTACTTACTTTATTTTTGGAGGAAAGCAAGGAGAAAGTCAACACCACACACCCCTTCATTTAATTACAGGAGCAGTCAGGACCAATCTGGCAGCTATTAAAATACAAATTTTGCCTTGATGCCGTCTCTCGCAGCAGGAGCTGCAAGTCCAAATTGGCTGCTAAGGGCTGGAGCTGGGGACAGAAGGTCAGCACCGCTATTAGGAACCACATGCAACTAACAGCCCCGGCACCCTGTGGGCTCTTTTGTATCTTGCTGCTCGCTCTGTTCCTTCTCATCTTTATCTTGTAAGCTCTCTGCCTCTGTCGCCTCCTCTCTACCAATGCTGGTCCTTCCAGAGCCTTCCTGGAGCACCCCAGTTGGAAGGGGCTTTGGAGACCACCTTGTTCAAACCCCTTGTTTTTCCAAGGAAAAAATGAAGTCCAGAGAAGGGAAGAGGCTGACTCCCAGGCAACCAGCATGTTGGTGGGAAGCTGGGCCGGACACAGGGAGGCTTCCTCATCCTGGAGCTAGAACGGGGGCTCTGGGGATCCCCCTCTGACCCCCAGATGGGAGTACAGTCCTGCCTTGTGGTGTGGCTTCAACAAGCTACTTCACCTCTCTGAATCTGTTTCCTTATCTACAAATTGAGGCTAGTAAGTTGTGGGCCAATGCTGGAAGCCAGAAAATCAAACCCACACAAAGGAAAATAGAACCCACAGAGGTTAAGTTAGTAGGTGACTGTGGTCAAAAGGTGTAAACTTCCAGTTATAAAATAAGGAGGTTCTGGGGATGCGATGCCCAGCCGGGGTCTAGCAGTAACACTCTCTTGCATATTTCAAAGTTGCTGAGAATTCATCTTAGAATTTCTCATCATAAAAATAAAATTGTAACCGTACATGGTGATGGATGTTGAACTCGACTTTGGTGGTGATCATTTTGCAGCGGATGCAGACATCAATCACTCTGCTGTGCACCTGAAGCAAATGCAGTGTTCAAGGTCCCTGATAGAACTACTTGGCTATTTGATGTATTTATTTTACTTCCACCCTCTGAGGTGAGGACTAATTACATAGTCCCCTCCAAAAAAAAAAAAAAAAAAAAGAACTAACCCAATTGGGGCTTGATGATATCATTTGAAGTGCTTGATTCAGCTACACGTGAAGTAGGGTGTCAGTGCTTTAGCTGCATCAGCTAATAACTTCCTTTACCCTTAAGCTGGGTTCTGCCATTTCTAGAACCTGGAAGTGAGGGGGAAGCTGGGGTGGTGAGGCTGGGTCATGCTGCAGATGCGGCTGCAGCTGACAGAGGGTTGCAGGAGAAGGCACACTGACTCATCGTGCTATTAACACTAGCCACTGCCCTTCGTGTAGCTAAGTGCGAGACTCCCCACTGAGGACTAACTTACGGACGTGGGAACTCTGTGAGCTCTTCTGTCCAGAGAGCCCTGGCCCTTAGGGTTCTAGAGGGAGGTGCAGGCAACATCGCCTTAGCCTGAGCCTTTCTCCTGGCCCTGCCAATAAGGTACCACCTGTTAACTGCCGACATACATCAACTAGACAGGATGTCACACCCAGAGGTATAACTGGCTCACACACCATCCACTGACTTCTACCAGCAGTGTTTAGTCCTGTGCCAATCATGGCAATGACATCATCACGGTCACCTCCACCGTCATCACAGGGCACTTACTTCATGCAAATACTTTAGACGGTGCATCTCATTTAATCCTCCCCAAAACCACATTCACCTTTCCATTATATAAGTAAGGGATGAAGTTCAGAGAGGTTAAGTTATTTGTACAGTGCAGCACAGCTAGGCCATGGCAGAGCAACTCAGGAAGTAGAACCTCACAATCCACAACTTAACCTCTAGGCTATACCCAGGTGCTAGCACAGTGCCTGGAAATAGTGGGCAGAGAATAAATCCTGTTGAGCCCAAGGCTGAAACAATAGCAGAGTAGATGTACTTCAGACACAAGTCTACCTACTTACGGCGGGTTCCTTTCTCAAGGTGCAGCTCTGTTTGCACAACACCTGCACTACACTGTTACCTGGAGGAGAGGAAGGTCTTCATTTGCCACCTAAGGGCAGAGACACCAATATCTGGGTCAGTTTTGACAAAGCCTCGATGGGATCTTGTTCAGCTCCCCTGTACCCCCAAGGGATTTAGAACCAGAAACCTGGGTTCAAACTCTACTACTTACTGGCTGTGTGACCTCAGGATAGCCATTTAGGCTCTCAAAGACCCCCTTTATTATGACAAATGCGGAGGGTAATTCTTATTTTTGCAGTGACTGGCTTTCAAGATGAAATGGGTCCTGCAGAGGAGGACCCGACAGAGCAAGGGGCACTTTGTGGGAACCACACCTGGTGCTAGAACTCTTCTCTTTCGTCCTCTCAGGTCTCACTACCCTTAGTGACCAGAACACACTATGCTACGCTATGCCCTTTACAGAGCGCCTTCCAGTCTGGGGAGCTCTCTTGCAAGATAAAGAATGTGGTGGTGACAGTGCAGGAGCAGTCGCTGGTCAGCTAGATGAAATCAAAGTTCAAAGGCAGGAATTGACATGACACTGGGATGAGAATCACTCTAGGGCTACTTCTAGAAGGCTCAGGAAATGGAGCCCACTGCTTGCTCGTGTCTCCCTCTGTTGTGGATAAGTAGGTAAACAGAGTCACAGCCATGCTGTGGAGACCAGCAATGGGCCCAACAGAACACCCCCAAAGCAAAGATTACGCCTGCAATGCCAAAGGGGACCAGGCAGGGACAGGGGACAGGTGAGGACTTCAGCGACACAGAGAACACGGGCTCCAAGATCCAGATGACTGTCGTGAGGAATTCAGGCACACAGTAATTGGACCTGTGGGTCCTTTAAGATGAATTGGAAATCTGGGTTTTTATGGAAAATATCACTCTTTTTAAAAGGGCTATTAATTTTCAAATGAAGCATCTGATTTAACCAAAACAAACCAAACCAGCATGAAGGCCAAACAAAACAAGCTAACAAGCTAAAATCATCCTGCGAGCTGCCAGGTTATGCTCTGAGTTCAACACCAGAAAAAGGCTCCAGGAAGTCAGAGTGAGCCCGGCTGCGGGTAGGAACGGTGAAGCCCATCATGGGATCTCTCCTACAGGGGACACTCAGGACTATCCCTTGTAGCCCATCTCTGGCCACAGAGATCTGGACTTAGCTCAAAGCCCAACTGCGGGGATGCTGACTGGCATTGCTTCTCAAAGTCAGAGGCACCATGGGTCAAGATCAGGCTTCTGGGTGCTTCAAATCTCTGCCAAAGTTTTGGGCAGCAAGTGATGCAACAGGAAGGGCCCAGGCCTCGGGCTAACTACATGTTGGCATATGACGCTTTCCCACTAAAAAGCAGACTCCATGGGAATGAGGGTTCTGTCCCATTCGCTACTAGAAGGGTGCCTGGCACATGCCTGGCCCTCAGTGAAGATTTGTTAAAATCTTTGTGGCTGACCCAATGGATGACAACAGGGACATCACTTAAACTGTGGGCCTCAGTTTCCTCGCCCATAAAATGGGGCTGAACAATGGCTGCCCAGCTCATCTGGAAGGGCTGATGTCAGATAACAAAAGTGCTTGGGAAAAAAAGATGTCAAGGACTAAGACGCCATGATAGACCATGACTATTACCTGCATCTGGGCTGACTGGAGGGGCTGGTTAAGGGTGGCGGTCAGCCTGTGCCTCACCTGCCTGTCCTCAGCACCTCTCTGGCTGCGTCTGCCAGCCCAGAACCCCACACCAATGGCTCGGACCTTCATTTTCATTTTGCACAAGGTGAGGGGGAAGATGTCCTACCTTGCATTGTCCCGGCCATGTGACTTCAGGAAATTCATCTCTCGGTATCGGGAGAGGAATGCCACCAGCTGGTCGTTTGTCCTGCGGAAACAAATGGAGAGGAATGTCAGGTTCCTCCAGAGGCCACTTCCTTGTTTGTCATGGAAACCAGGTTCCTGCCTTCTTTCCTGGTGAATATCCCCCAACTGGCCACTCTCACTGGACAGTTGGGGTGCTGTTCTCCGATCACTCCATCATACTGTGACCTTCTCTGGACAAATGTAGTATCCTGTTTGTTGTGGAGTCTCCGGTGCCCGGTGCTGGCCTTGACAATTGCCAAACACATAGCAAATGCACGAAACACATAGTAACCTCAGTGCCTTTGCACTTGCTATGCCTGTGAAATTCTTTTATCTTCCTGTCACTAACCTACTCTTGTTATCCAGATGTTCATTAAAATATCATCTCTTCAGGGAGGCATTTTCTGGCCACCATCCTACAGTAGCACCCACCACCCCACTCCACCTTTATCAGATCACTCTACTTCACCACTTTATCACCATCTGAAAACCAATTTTACTTATATGAGGATGTGAGCTCCACAAGGACAGAACACAATGGCTGTGCTCACCATTGGTCCAGAATAGAGCTACAGTGATGTTTGTTGGATGAATGAATGACTCAAGTGAGATGAGTCTGAACTGACTCCTTCACATGAATTTTGAGGAAGGAATGAATGAATGAATGCATGCATGCATGCATGCATACCGGGCCTCGATAGCCACTGGGCTACCGATGGAGAGCGCTTTAATAAACATGAAGTGTGATACACACGGATGACATCGTTCCCAGCATTGTTATCCCAAATTTATCGCCATCAATCTCGGCACTAGCTGTGTAGTCACAGCTAATCAGCTTGTGCATACAGCTGTGACAGTATTTTAAAAGGCAGTCACACGGGTCTCCATCTGCCAGATATGCAGTCGCCTCTTCCGCTGAATAAACCAAAACAGGTAAACGGTGCTGAAGTGACAGCTCCTTCATCATCAGGCTTCTCTGCTCAGGGGTTTTTACTTACACGGAAAGAGTTAACCAGGGCTTCAAACTGGGAGAAAGGAAGGAGGCAGTGGAAAGGAAAGGCTACACCTCTGGGGGGCAGGAGACCTTGGGAAGGGATGCCGGGGGCTTGAGAAACAGAAAGACCTGGAGACAAATCCCAGCTCCACTCCTGACCAAGCTGTGTGTCCGAGGGTAAGTCACTTAGCTGCTGAACTTAGCGCTGCCCAGCACACACTCTACTGGGTGAGTAACTGGGTGAACGTAAAGGGCATGGAGTAGGTGCCCAGGAAATGCAAACTGCCTTGCTCCTCCTGCTCCCCACCATCTGGTCCTCATGTCCCTGCAACTCCTCATAGTCTCACCCTTCTAAACTCCTGTTCTGTGACTGATCGGCTTGCACGGACCAACTCATCATTCCAGCGGGGAGGCACAGGCCAGTGAGGAACATGCCGCAGTGAGAATGAGCGCGCCGGACACCCACCTACTCCTGAAATAAACTCCCGCCCTAAAGCAGCTGGTCTAGCGGCAGTGGCGCCACAAGCCCCGTGCGTCTGCAGTGAGGTAAATCCGGCACACGGGCAGAAAGCTAAGACCCGCCGCTTTGCACAGACGTGAGCCCCGGGGGTGCGGACAAAAGGCTAACCCCACTTGTCTGTATGAGGGTGTGTCTCCCGTGTGGACCCCCCCACATGCCAGGTCCAGCCCCCGGGGCCTCACACCAAGTTCCACTTGTGGGCATGGGGCTGCTGTCAGTGGCAGGGAGAGGTGGAAACCAAATCAGACCCTAAAAAAAGGAAAGCCATCTCTGCACCCCCGCAGGAGCCCACCCCACCCGCACCTCCGCAGCCTATTTACCAGCCTGCTCGCCACTCTGCGACAGTTCATTATTGTCCCTGATGAATGCGGGACAAGTCAGCCTCTGAATGGGTCCCTGGCAGCAGGAATAATAAACAGGGGCCTCTGGGCAGCCTTGGTGGGAGGACTGAGGGGCTGGGCCGGGGCTCCGGGGCCCCTCTCCAGAAGACTCCGGCCTCCCAGGGTTAGCGGCTGCAGCTCCACTTGGCAACCCCAGAAAGCGTCTTTCAGGGCCCTGAGTTGGGGCCATTTTCACATTTACCGCTTCACCGAGCCCCCATCTGACGGGGATGAATAGGCATTTAGCGAATTTACTTAGCGATGCTTCCACATGAAATCGTCTCAAAAGATGACATCTTGGGGGAGGGAGGGTGGCCGGGGAGGGGGCTGCGTTTCCCGGCTCGGAGCTTGTGGGTAAATCTTTTCAAAGCTGAGTGCAACGTGCTTGGCTGGGCTGGTGGGGCCAGGGGACCCCAAACTCCGCCTCCCCCTGGGGGCCCCAGCCCCCTGGGCTCCCCCTCTGCGTGAACAGCCTATGCTGAAGGCTAACTTGTCTCCCCAGCTCCTCCAAGGGGAGACAGAACTTGGTTGGGGAGCAACTTTCCCTATCGCTGCTTTCAGACACCTGTGGAGAATTGCCTCCATGATATTTAGCTCTCTCTGGATAATCAACAGCTTGAGATTTGTTGACATTTTCCCCAGTTCCAGTCTCTCTTGCTCTGTTTCCCCCTCACACATCTCTCACGCATCCTTCCTGGTGGGGTCATTTGCAAGTGGCTTCCACAGCTCAGCACCGTGTCTGTGTCCTCACCCATCTCCCTCCACCTCGTGCTGAGATTGTAAGGAGACACGTCTGTCTATGCCAGTCCCTCTGGCCCCTGGCGGCAGCTCTGGGCCCATTGCTGCTGCCTTTGGCGCTCCTTTGTCGAAACAAGTACGTAAACAAGTAAAGATTAAACTTACTGCAACCACAGGGGCCTCCTGCTTGAAATGGATGAATAAGTGGGTAATAAAACCAGCTCCCAGATCACGGCCACTTACGGAATGTCCAGCAGGCCCTCAGCCCTGAGGCAGACTTGCCCCACATTGTGTCACATTGACCATTCACAAAGACACTATACAGTGCAGTTTTCAACCCCATTTTACAGATGGGCAGCTGAGACGCCTGAGGAGTTGTCCATTTAGTAAAGAGCCAGGATTGGAACTTGGTTCCAAATGTCAAAGCTCATGCTCGTACCACGAGGCTGATTCTGCAAAGATCGGATGAATGCATGAGGAATGAACCAACTCTGCTCCAGGGTGGGAGCAAAGATAAGGTGTCCACAACCTCCCGTTTTCAGAATCTGGTCTTCAGACCAAACCATCAGTCCACTGATATTAAAATGCCAGGTTTCAGGCTCTGCCTAAGACCTACTGAGTTAAAATCTGCTTTTGAACCCAAATCCCAGGTGACGTGTGTGCGCCCTTTAAAGTGTAAGAAGTGCTGCTTTACGTCAAGCGTGGAGATCAGCAGTTAATGCTCTTCTTTCCCGCTTCATCTTCTCCCCATGGTCTCTTCCTGAAGGTCTGGGCTTCGGGCGTGCTACTTTCATCTCAATAAGCCTCAGGTATGGGGAGTATTCAATAAAGTAATACACATATGATTTGTGCAGTAGCACCCGGATCTAATAAGCCCTTGATAAATGTTAGCTGTTATTTAATCGCATTATTATTGCCATCTTGAACACCAGAAGCTTAAGACATTTTGAACTGGTAACAGCAGCATGAAGACCCGACATTCCATGCATAACCCCCACGGAATGTTCTGCAGGACATGGTTTGCGAAATGTCCTCCAGAAGGGACATGTCCACAGGCCCCCAAGGGGACTAACACCCCATCGTCCTGTTCGTGTCTACTATACACAAGGGGCATGGGAAAGCAGAGAAGGAGGGAGCGGTTCAGCTCTCAGGTACCCATGTTTCTGGGCGCTCAGCCCCCATACAGCCCCCACCAGGAAGGAGCCCAGGGCACAGCCAATTTCTCTGGGTCCCCCTGGCCCACCATACTGTGGCCCAAAACCCCTTTCCAGCGTGCTGAGAAGCATCTGCCAGCGCCCTCAAGACTAATGGTGCAGCCTGAAGAATGAAGGCACAAGAGCAGGTTTTATGGACTCTGGATCCCAGTCCCCCAGAGGTCACCAGGTGGGGGCAGACCCCAGGGGGCACTAGATTGAGGCCCTGTGGGTGCAGTGCACAGGCACGGGGAGAGCAGAAAGGCACACGAGGGGCATGGATGGGGGACTGTGGCGGCTGAGGGTGCTGGCGGTTGCCACACCTTCAGTCAGAGCTCATGTTGTGCCAGTAAACGCCCCCCTGCACCCTGCCACTTGTTCCAAGAGGTTCTCATCTGTAGTTATTTCATATTTATGTCAATTTAAACACCACTTTAGGACCTCCCTGGTGGTGTAGCAGGTTGAGCACCATGCTGTGAAGCTGTCCACAGCCTCTGCATGTGGGTTCAATTCCCGACTGGCCAGGGAGAAACCCACATGGTGCGGCAGACCTCTCCTGTCTCACCCTCTGCTCCCCTCAGCAGTGTCTTCAGTCCATCTGCCTGTTCTGCTCCCCACTCTGTCTCTGGTGAATTCTCTCACCCCCCTGTGCCTCTGACTGTACTCCAGTTCTTGTACAAATAATCTTTAAAAAAATATAAACACCCAACAAGCAACTATAAACCAGAGACACACTACGGGGGGGAGAGGATAGGAGGGATTAGGGTCAAAATAAGTGGGGTGGGAATTGTATGGGGAATATAACCAAGATGAAAATGCATACATTGTGCAAAAATGAAAAATGATGTAAAAAATATATAAAATTAAATAAAATTTAAAAAAATAAGAAAAAAAAATCTAAATAAATGCTCCAAATTAAAAAAAAAAAAAAAAAAAACACCGCTTTAGCTTCACTCTAAGCAACACTATTCATGAGAGCTGATATAACGTTTCCCCCAGTTTTTGAATCCTGGTAACATACACATGACATCCACGTCGCCAACGTAACCAGCTCTAAGTGTGTGGCTCATCGTGGTGATGACATTCAGCGTGTTGCACCCCCATGGCCTCCTCTATCTCCAAAACTTCATCCTGCCAAATGGAAACTCTGAGACCTGTGACAACAACGCCCCTCTTCTTCCTGCCCCAGCTCCTGGC